ACATTAATGTTTTTTTTAACTTTATCTTGAAGATAAACTAAACATATAAAATATTTAAAATGTGATTTTTGTAAACAAAAAGTATAATAATTATGCTTACACATTAGAAAAATTACTAATACCAACTTTTCTCTAACAAACAATTCAACTTTTTTTAATATTTTACTAAACTAATAGCTCTTAAACTTCTAATTAAACTTTTTTCTTACAACTTTCTACTCTAAAAACAATACAAATTTATTTATATTTAATCTTTTGATACAACAAACTTTTACATTTTAATAAAATTATCTTTATTTATATTCTTTTTAAATTTCTTTAATTTATACTTAATTAAACTCTTTTACTTTTAAGTAAAATAATTATAATAAACTTTCTGCTTTCAACTATACTAATTTTATCAAATTCTAACTATTATATTACATATTATCTAACATTTTCTAAAAAAATACACTTTTCTAATTTTCATCAAATTTTACTAAGCAACCTTATTCTCTCTTATTAAACAAAAATATCCAGCTCATTGAGATAATTATTTCAATATAAACTTTTCTTGAACAGACCAAAACTTATTAAGTTATCAATATTTCTTTTTAAACTTCTATCTAAACTTCTTTCTGAAATTCTATTGGTTAATTTCTGAAAATTTACAGAGATGTCTCAGAAATTTCACATTTTACAAACCTTGAAAATATCCAAATTTCTAACATTTCTTTAAATTCTCTTAAAGGAACCTAGAAAATTTATTAGATTTCTGAAAATTTCACTGTCAATTTCAATAAACTCAATTTTTTTGCCTAATTCTTATCTTTTTTACTTGCTTTTTTTTGCTACCTATATTATAAAACACTCTGCCTATACTATAAACTAGTTAAAAAATCTTTTTTATATCTTTGTTCCAAGCTATTTACAATGTTATATATTTTTCTATTATTATTACTTATAATTTCAAAAGAATCTACAAACTACAACCCAACAAGATTACTTTTTAGACTGGTTCAAAAGATATTCTATTTCAGAAAACTCTTCTTTATCTACACTTATGATATCTGGAATTCAAACATTATATTTCTTAAAACCAATTCTTAAAGATTTTTACTCTGGTTCAATTATTAATTTTGTAATAATCGACAAACTAGTTGTAAAAAGTAATTTTAGTCTATTAATTTAAACTATAGCAACCAAAAAATCTAAATTCATTATAAACACAATTCTAAACAAAAATTTACATATTACTAAAGCAATCAAAATATCTTTTAAAATTCTTCTTAGTACAATAAAAAACTGGTTTACCAAATTTACTTATACTCTTTTTCATATGAAACAAATTACAAACAACTCTTTAACTTATACTATTTTATTCTCCCTTACTCAATTAAAAAACAATTTTAAATTGCTATAAACCTTGCCAGACTTTATTTATTTCATAAAAATTTAATATTTTTATATGTATTTTTAAACTTAGAATAAACTGCATTAATAATATTAGATTATGTCTTATATATAATATGAAAAATTAACTTTTTTTACTGATTTTTTTTACAAATTTGGAAAAAATACAAAATTGATAATAAATAAAAAATAATATAGAAAACATACAAAAATACTATAATAAAAAAGAAGAAAAAGATAAAATGTATAAAAATAATATAAAGATATAATAACTGAAAAAATTAAAAGACACTGTAATAAGAAAGCTTATGAAAACAAAATTTTTTAAAAATTTTTAGAATTTTTAAAAATTGTCATTAATTCTAAAAACAACAAATAATATATAACTAAAAGCAAAAGTAAATAAATATAAATATATACAAATTTGGTTATAAATAAAGTATATAACAAAAAAAACAAAAGTTAAACAAAACAAATTTAATATATACAGAAAAATCTAAAAAAAATCTGATATATATAGAAATTATATAAATATAGAATTTGTTAAAATATATTAGCAACTACAAAACAAGATTAGGTAAATATATAAATAATAAAAAACTAGTTAAAGTTTTAAATAAGACAAAGCCATTAAGTTCAAATAATATAAAACTAATATCAAAAAGCCTAGTAGTTAAAGGTGTAAATAAAATTACAGTATATAACTTGCTTTTGAATAATCAGATAATAATAGTACTAAGAGAAGCAAAAAACATATAGTTACAAAGTAAAATCATTAAAGACTATGTTAGAAAAATTAGAATTATAAGCCAAAACTCAAAGTTGATAGATTATTTTTAAATATAAAATTAACTAAAGAAGAAAACAAAATGCAAAAAATTGAAATTACTATAGAAAACAAGAACATGCAAGCAGAATGTAATAAGAAAAGACAACAAATAGAAATAAAAGAACTAGAAAAAAAATAAAAAATAAGCATAAAAAATAATAACAATATTAATAAACAAAAAACAAAAGTAACACAAAATAATACATAAAAAGTACAGTTATACAAGCAGAAAAAACTTATACTTTACTAGAACAAAGTATTTGAATACTAATAAATAATCATATAATATTAACAGTTTATATTAGTTTAAAATACTAGCATATAACTTAATAGGTAGCACAATTTAAAAAAAGATACAATATATAAAAGCAATATTAGAAGAAAATAAGCATATAAAGTTAGTTAACAAAAAAACTAAAAAAAGCAACAAATAGATAGAAATAGATTTTAACTATAACTATAATAAAGAAAAAATAACAAAAGAGTTTTAGAAATGAAATATTAAAAGAGTATAAACCATAAATAGAAGAAAAAAGAAAGATTAAATATTAACAAAAACAAAATTTTTTAAGAAAAAACAAAAAAAGAGATGTAGTAACCTAGTGAAATGGTTATGTTGTCAACTTTCAAATAGTAGATTGTGTGTTCAAATTCCATTGACATCAAAAATTTGAATAATTATCTATATAATATTTATATAACAACAATTGTTACTAATGATTAGGTTAAGATACTTGTAATAGTAGTCATACCAGTATGACTGGCAGGTTACAGAGCATCTGTGCAATGTTGAAGTTATACAAAGAAATGAAAACTGACAAATCAGGTAGTGCAAACACTAGATAAGTCCTTGTGGTCATGTCAATCTGTTAAAATTGGATAACAAAAAGTCTATTTGTGAAGACCTAAGTAAAGAGATAGCTGGATCTTTGACAGTCTTACTATAAAGGCTAGCTTAGCAAAACAGATACCAAGGTCTAGTACTGGTCATAGTAGCTAGATGGACAAGAACTTCTAAGTTGAAAGTCTCAAAGTTATCACTAATCAAACTACTGAAATGAACTGAAGAAAAAGGATATCAGGCTAACCTAATATATAATGAACTTGTCATAGTTCTATATAGACTATCTGAATTAGGAGTTTGATAAAAAGGTAGGTGAAAAGGCAGGGTATACTAAAGTACCAGGATTATGCTATAAAGTAGATGCTGGTGTTTAAGTAAATTATACAAGGACATAGTGGTTTAATAGTTAAGCCCTGATTGCAGGTGTTGGTTCTGCTATAGTAATATCTAGATTAGTTGTAAAAATGAGTACAGAAGGCTCTGAGGGGTTTACCTCAAAGATAAATTAGTTCTAAAGTTAAGATAATGATCTGGGCATTTAAATATAACCTAGTGAATTAACACAGATTACAGATTTATAGGTTTTAAAATAAAACACTCAAGCAGATGTATTAAGTACAGCAATTAGTAACAAACCTTCAGATAGACTCTTTAAATAGGTAATATAGAAAAGTTACACATGTAGCCAATTGTATGCTCTCCTGTAGTGTTTCATTAAACCACAATATAATAAGTGATTAATAAAAGTCAAAAGACTAAAAAGGTGCAAAAACATTGATATTGACCTATTTGGACCATCATTATTAACCTAAAAAAAATCTGTATATCATTATTGATCTATTAAAAAATTTTGATTCACTATTGTTAACATTGTATAACACATCTGCATCATATAAGTTTTTAATACTTTCACTCATTAAATCCTCTTTAACTTAGATAAAACTCTGCAGTTCATTGTTCTGTATTAACAAAGTAATTAATTAGTTGTAATGTGAACTTGAAGGACTGTGATTATGTGATTTTAGAAGAAATTAAAAGTTTATCATTTATTCAAAGTCTGAAATATTATGTTTATAAAATAGACTTGGTAAAGCTAAAATAGATTAGTAATCAAAATATAAAAGCCAATCTTTTTCTAAATCTAATATATTTTTTTCAACTTCATTCGATTGTTATATTGTAGTTAAATAAATTTAATCAAACACCTATTTTATTGTATGAAAATAATTGTCATGAAATATAATATTACTGTGATTGTGTAAATTTAATTTATACACAATATGCCATCTGTTCTGTTGATATTAATAACAATGGTGTTATTTATCTGCCATTTGGATGGGCAGTTGAACAATATCTGTATTCACTTTCTATTTCATATAGTATTCATTATAAAATTCAAAGCAAAAAGTGAGTAAATAATTCATTGAAATAGGGACTTGTAATAATTGAGCATGTGGAAAGTTTAGCTAATTATATTAGCTGAGAGACTGTGAAAGGTCAGTGTAAATCTACAAACCATCTTGATGATATCTTACAATTAAGTGAAAATGGAAAAAACTGAGTTCAACAAATAAGTATAAAAAAAGAAAAAGACCTTCAAGTTTGGCAATGAACTTGGTTTTGTTCTGATGAAAGTAGTTGTTAAAGGCTCTGTGGTAGAATTGGCTCGTGTATTGAAACATGTAATCATTATATTAAATAAAACCTCAAAAATCCTCTTAATATGCATAAATGTAGTATATAAATAATTACTAAAGTTATGCTATCTGAAATAGATACAGACCTACCAATGCATATGATTATTAGTGCAATCATATTTCACAAAATATTATTCATGAAAGAGTCACATTATCTCAGATTAATCTAAGTTGGAAAGCATAAGATTTGGCAATTTTAAATCATCAAGCTAACAAAAGTACAATCAAAAAAATTAAAATGAAGCTTCTTGCATCTTATAATAGAGCTTCACAAAATAAACTACAAAAGTTATATAACAATCAAAGCTCCATATGTGATGATGTCAAACTTCAGCAACTTCTTGAGAGAGATGACTTATGTTTAAGAAAAAAAATAGGACCATGGTTAGTAATGCATGAGTTAGTAACTAGTGCATTAAAAGAAAAAAATGTTATTTTATATTATTAGCAGCCAGACATTAATGCAGATAAAAACAGTTCAGAACAATATTATCAACTTACTATGAGTGATGACTTGTAGCTTCAGCAAGCATGTAATTTTGGATCATTCTGCTTTGGAGTTAACAGTAAATATGATTTAAATAGTGATGGTGCACCAGTATTGTCTCTTGTTGTTTAAGATAGTGCAGGTTATAGAACTCCAATTGCATTTGGTGCATCAAATAAAGAAAACAATCATACAATTAGGCTTGCTGTAGAAGCAATTAAATAAAATATTCCATGTAATAGTACTAATTGCATATATGAGCATCAGTATATAGAGCTAGCAAATAGAAAAGAATTTATGAGAATACGTTATTGTATGCAAGAGTAGCACCTATATATAATGATTGATAAATACAGACCAACAAAATGGGAGCTTCAACCTATTCTCTGTAGGTTAATTTTATATTAGTTTCATATTATACAAACACTTAGGAAGTATCTTAAAGATTTACCAATTGCTGATCATTATCAATATCCAATTGCTATTGCATTTAAGATTGTAGATAGAAGCAGAACTAAAGAGAAAGCTATAGAACTTGGTTATACTTATGAGTTATTTATTAGAACTCTATCACTTCCAGAAATTACAAAAGAACACTTGTGCAATAATATGTTTGCTAATTGTTTATCTGAAGAATGAATTGATTGTTTTATTGATAGTAGTTGGTTGCCTTCTATAAATGATCATCTGGGTGTAAAACCTATGACTACAAATAATCTTACAGAATGAATAAACAAATCAATTAAAGGTTGACATGTAGGCACTTAGCCAATCAATAACTTCATCAAAAGATTATATAGAATTAGATTAGTATGAGATAATATTATTTAGGAGACTTCTTTACAATTTATATTTGAAGCTAATCAAGTAACATATTGGAATGTACATATTATAGAACATCAAGCATTACTATTTAAACAACCTGCAGATGTAAAACAACATTTAAATCAGGAATGACTATGTGTTTTACTTTATTTAGTAAAACCCATAGTTAGTGAAAATGACTTATATTTTTATGTAAAAAAACAAAAATAATAAGTTTTGCTCTCTATATATAATAAAAAATATTAATCTCGATAATGAAACATATAAATTACTTTAGCCATTATTAAATAAACTTGTATCTAAACACCCAGTTATATAATTGGATAATTACTATGTTGTTAATATTTCTATAGAAGAGTGCACATGTCTTGATTTTGTGTAGAATAGGTCTTTTCATAATGTATGCAAGTATGTATATGCAGCATGCTTATTTAATGATATAGAAAATAGCAAGACTACTCTAAATATGATAAAATATAATCTTGTACAATATTTTTGCAAAAAGGAACATGCAGTACCAGCCAAACAAAAAAACCTTTTAATTTACAGTAGCTTTAATAAAACTGCATTTAAGAAAATTCGAAGAATTTTCTCAATACAAGATAATGTTATATTTTTTTTATATAAGTATATAACTACAGAAAAGGATCTATTTCATCCTATTAAACTATCTAATGAAGAATATTAAGCATTGGAGCCTCTAAAGTACATAGTGCTAAGCCAAGAAAACCTAATCATTTTTTAAATAAATTAACAAATAATGAGATAAGTAGATCCATTCGTATATGAGATATATTTAATTAACAATAGTTTAATTACTATACTTTATATTATTTTAAGAATGTTGATAATAAAGACTTAATGCTAATTAATATTAAAGTAGACTTATTAACAGTAACAAGCCCAGAACAAGTTGAAGTTGAAAGAATTGAAACTAAAATTAAAGAAGTTAATGTTTATGAAATTGAAACTGAAGATGTCAAAGAAGTTGAAGAAACCAATGAAGCCTTTCAAATTAACACTACTAGAGCAGAAGCATTAGTATTAAGTCCATTGCCACTATTAGTTCAGAAATGAAGAAATGCAACAATTAGAAACTGCAAATATAATTCTATAAAAAAGATAAGTCTAAATATAGTAAATCATAAAAATTTCGAATTAACAAATTATTAACTATAAATGATTAAATCAGAGTAATGAAATCATTAACTTATCTTTATCTAAAGCCACTTCACAACATGTACTTGAAAATCTTTTTTCTGAAAAACAAACTGATTAAAAAAGACAGGAGTTTGTAAAAGCTTGTCTTGAAAAAATATTTACTTAGATAATAATATAGAAATAAATATGAAAAAGTTGTTTACATAGTTTGATGAAAGAAAAAATAGAATGAAACAAATGGCTAGCTTGTAAAGTAAATAACCAATTGCATTGAAATTTATAAATAAATAAATTATAGTGATAGTTTTATTTTCATTTAAAGTATTAATCAAAAAGCTCATATAATAACAATATTGTGTTACAATGTAGCAATAATTATTATTATTATTTATTATTATTTTTTTTTTGCAATTCTGGATTAATAATGATGTATAGATTTTTTTTAGATCAATAATAATAGTCCAAATGGGTTAATATTAATGTTTTTGCTAAAGAGGGCATTTAAAAAAAAAAAACCTCCCAAAAAAAAGAACTTTATGAAATATACAAAAAAAAAAGAAAAAAAAGAAGTAGAAATAAAAGAAACAAACAAATTTCTAATAATTTAGAACCTATTAGTAGACATAAAAGAAGAAGTTAAATAAATATATAAAAATATATGAAGTGCTTAAGTATTTAAAATTAAGGACCAAAATTCAAAGCATTAGCAATAATCAAATTCATATATTTAGAAAAAGAAAAAGCTTTATAGTTTGTAGCAATTGGAAATAACAATTTAGTATATATTATATAGTATTATAAAAATTATAAACAAAAAAAAAACAAAGAAAATATATAGTTAAATTAATAAATTTAATAAGAAAAGTTTTAAAAATAATATTACTAAGAAGTCTCAAAAATAAAAAGAAAAAGCAGTTTATATTTCTTCAAAAAGAAATAAAAATCCAAAAAGCATAATAATAATAACTTTTAAAAATGATGCAGATCTTAAAAAGGCAAGCAATAAGCCAATAAAATATTATAATTACATATTATACTAGAGATCAATTAAAGAAACAAGATGAGAAAATAAGAATATGTTAACTTATAAAACACAAAAGATAAAAAAAACAATACAAATAATGAACATTAAGAAGCTAATAAAGAACAAAACTATAAAAAAAAAAAAGTAAATATAGAAGATAAAGAAAACAAAAACAACAAAGACAACAAAGAAAATAAAAAAGATATAGTAATTATTTGGAAAAGAATAGATAAACATTAAACTACTTTACAAAAAATATTAAAGAAACTTGAAAAAATAAATAAGAAACAGAAGAATTCTGCATAACATTTTTGAAAAATACTATAATTAAAAACACAAATATAAATAAAGTGAATACAAACTTTTTACAAAATAAAAGAAATATTTATAAAAATATTCAAGAAAAAACTTATTTATTTAAAAACAATAATAGCAAAAAGAACAAAAAAAAACAAATAAAGTAAAAATAACAATAAACTTTAAAAAGAATAAAAACAAATAAATAGAAAAGAATTTAGAATAGCATACTATAATATTAATAAACTTAAAACCAGAAGATAGAAATTAGAAAATCTTTTAGATTAGACAGAAAAAAAAATATCAATATTAGCTATAACAAAAACAAATATTACAAAAAAAAAAAAGTTTTATTATATAATTTCAATATATAATACAAAGGTTACTAGTTTAGTGCAGTACCAAACAAAAAAAAAGAATCAGATATAGATATACTAAAATATAAAAAATAAGAAAAACATATTAAAACAATTAAGATAATTAGCAAATATATAATAAAAGTATATTTATATTTTAAACAATTGAAATTGGTAATAACAGAAGTGGGTATTCGATTTAATAACAAGTTGATTAGTAAAAACATTTACCAAAAAATTGTAGAAGTGATAATGAACAAAAAAATTACACAAAAGTAATTATATTAGATAATTTTAACTGCATAAAAATAATATACTAGGATGCAAATCATTAACTCTTTCTGATGATCATTTGTACCAAATTCTGCTGCAAACATTTGATTATTATTCAATATTTTATTAAGTAAACTAATCTTGGACGTCTAAGTAAAGTTGTTCCTAACATAATTTTACACTTAGGCGGCCTAGTTATATATCTCTGAACCTCTTATTTACTGAGATATTTTTATTAAATATAAAAAACACTTCTATTCATGTTAACTTAAAATTTTACTAATTAAACAACTCTTGTATCCTAGAACAAAAAGAAAGAGCTCATTCATAGCTTCATTTTGATATAGAATTCATCAAAAACGGCCTAAAACTGTTCAACTTATTGGCAAAATATGCTTAAACTCACTTGCAAAATCTCTTTTTATTTTTTGCAAATTTTTGTTACATTTTTGGGGGGCTGCCTCTGGTCTACCCCATCCAAACACACCAAAATAGGATTACTAATCAATATTACACAATTTATTAATTACAAATTTGTACTTTTATAATTTTACACAACTTTTTGGTTTAATGTCAATCTTGACTTACAAATAGATCTGCAAAGTGTCACATACTTTTTGTGATACCCTTCTATTTGTCACATTCTGTGATTGTCACATCCCTCTAATTGTCACATTCCTTATTTATCACATCCCTTATTTGTCACTCCCTCTTATTTGTCACATCCTATATCATTGAAATCCTATTGGACTCAAGAATCCCAATATCAAATCTGTTTTTATTTTTAAAGCAACTATGTCTAAATTAATTAATCAAGATCCAGATCAATATGATTTAGATTACTTTTTGGCTAAATATGGTGACCACTTTGGTGTCATGACTAAAGAAAATAACTTACAACAAATTAAATCTATTCAATTTGCTGTGCACCCAACTGAATGCAATAAAAAAAACAAGATTTACTATTTTAAAGCACCTCATCAACCTACTGTCATTCAATGTCTCTGCAAAACTTATCATACTTTGTTTATATCTCATCATTACCAACTTCTTTCAAGATCTGCAACACCTCCTCCAACTTCTGGTTCTACTACTCCTATGGATATAACCCCAAACCAATTCAAAAAAACCAAAGATACTATCCCTCAATTCCCCGTAAGCAAAATCTCTCCATTACCATTCAACTATGATAACTCATTCATTGCTACTTCTTCAACTGTTACAGACCTTGCACCTAATACTGTAGTTATTAAAGCTCACATATAACATACTCATATCTGTATTATCTGTCACAAATCAAATATTTCATGTATTTTTCTAACTGATAACAAGCATTTTCTTGACTCTACTGCTAAAATCCTATGTGGATATCCTACTTATCCTAGCTGTATTTCTAACCTTAAGTTAAAACCATCAATTCAAACTAAATCTCTCAATCAACAACAATGATCAGCTTTCTTTACTACTAAATTTGCTCTTATAAAAAAGAAGAAAAAATCCAAATTTTTAAAGAATTTCTTCAACTCCTCAAGAAAAAACAATCTACTCAACAAAAAATAAAAATCCCACAACAAACAAAAGAAAATCTTCTTGACTGGACCTAAAAATATCCAATTACAACTAAAATGGAACCATTTACTAACTTTAATACACCATTATCTCAACAAATTTTTGATTTTCTTAAACCTCATCTTATCAACTTC